GGGTCTCACGCAGCCAGCGCCGGCGCACGCTCTTCATCCTGGCCACAGACCTGGGCCAACCGGCGCTCTCCTCTACCGGCGTGGTGGTGATCCATGTGCAGGAAGAGCCCTACCGGGGGCTGCGCTTTCCTCGCAGCACCAGTGATGTGGCCCTGCCAGAAAATGCTGCCCCAGGTATCAGCTGGGCACCATGACCAGCAAGTGCTGGGATGAAATGGGATGGGACAGGAGGGGAGGTGGGTGCTGGGCTGGCAAAGCTGTGGGAAACTCAAACCAGGGAGCACTGCAGGGTCGGGGGAAGCCCCGTTACGCTTCGGGTAGACCCAAGGGACTGCAGGGTCTGACTGGTGCCCTGGCTGCTCAGGGTGATGATCCCTGTGAGTTTGTCTGAGGGGGTTCAGATCACTGTAGGCAGTCAGAGGTGCCCAGTTGCTCCTGGAAGGTCTCCAGGGGTCACAGTGAGGCCGTAGAGGGGCCATGGATGGGACCCACGAATCCCATCTCCCAGCCCAAAGCTGCCGTTAGATCTCGCTCCTTCTGGCAGCAGCATCCTCAGGCAGAGCCGTGTCCCTGTGGTGCAGTGTGTGCTGCCCACACGCCACCCCAACCCTCTCTGCCAGCCACCCCGAGACTCTGCTGCCCCTGCTCACTGTTTCACTCTCTTCCAGGCACTGCTGTGGCAAGCATCCAGGCTGTGCACACAGGGGGCTCCTCCGGGCGCATCACCTACAGCATCGTCAGTGGCAATGAGAAGAATACTTTCCTTATCCAGCCCGGTTCAGGTATGACACCAAGACCACCTGGGGAGGCAGCCGGGGGAGCCCGCCATGCTCTGCCAGTGCCTGCCCAGCTATCACAAGGCTCAGAGCCCCGCAAAGGCACGGGAACACAGTCCACACCTCTACACCAGTAAATGAAATCGTATTTGGATGTGGACACTAACCCGTCATTGCCCAGAGGTTGTTAGCACAGCTCCCAGCACAGTTTTGGTCCCTTCTAACTGGACCCTTCCCCAAAACCTCCTAGGCCCAGTTCAGGGCTTAGCAGAGGCCAGGACCATTGCTAAGATGTGATCTGGGTGCAGCCCCTGCCTTAGACGGCAAGTTCAGCCGAAGGACACATGCTATGGTGGGGCCTCAGAGCCAGGCACCTGGGCTGCCCCACTTTATTCCTGGGTGGGCAGGTGGCTCCTGTGGCTGCGGCTCTGCCGTGGAGCCACGGCCATCCCTGGGCAGTGGCAATAAATGGGGAACCGCTCGCTGTGCAGCGGGCACTCTGGGGGAGCCCTCCCTCTGCACCAGGCCATCCCCTGCACAGTCAGCAGGCGCCGAGCACACCGGTGCTGCTTGCGGGTGCCTGATAACCCAGGCAGAGCAGCGAGGCAGGTCGCAGGGTGCTGCCTAGTGATAGTGGGCGAGCTGGCACTGTTTGCACCGCACACCCCCTGGCGTCAGGGGGAGCCTGGCTGAGGCGAGGTGAGGGGTGCCTTGCTGAGAGGCTGGTGCTTGCCCTGTAGTTCGGCAGAGATTGGGATATCACAACCCCCAGTGTCAGTACAGGCTGGGGGATGAAGGGATGGAGAGCAGCCCTGCGGAGGGGAACTTGGGATACCAGTGGGTGAAAAACAGAACACGGCCCAGCACTGAGTGCTCACAGCCCAGAAAGCCCACCACATCCCGGGCTGCACCCAGAGCAGCGTGCCCAGCAGGTCGAGGGGGGGGATCGTCCCCCTCTGCTCTGCCCTGGTGAGACCCCACCTGCAGTGCTGTGTCCGGCTCTGGGGCCCCCAGTGTCAGAAGGACATGGACCTGTTGCAGCGGGTCCAGAGGAGGCCACAAAGGTGCTCAGGGGGCTGGAGCAGCTCCCTGTGAGGACAGGCTGAGAGTTGGGGGTGTTCAGCCTGGAGAAGAGAAGGCTCCGGGGAGTCCTTAGAGCGACCTTCCAGTGCTGAAAGGGGGCCTAAAAGAAAGATAGGTGTAATCTTTTTAGTAGGACCTGTTGCAATAGGACAAGGGGTAATGGTTTCAAACTAACAGAGGGCAGATTTAGACTAGATGTAAGGGAGAATTTTTTTATTATGAGGGTGGTGAAACACTGGCAGAGGTTGGCCAGAGAGGTGGTAGAAGCCCCATCCCTGGAGGCATTCGAGGTCAGGTTGGATGGGTCTCTGAGCACCCTGATCCAGCTGAATGTGTCCCTGCTCCCTGCAGGGGGACTGGACCAGATGGCCTTAAAAGGTCCCTTCCCACCCAAACCATTCTGTGATTCTGTGATATGAGAAAGCCAGTCCTCAGAGCCCGGACATCAAGCTGGAGCTTCCTGTTAGAACCCTGTTCTCTTGTGCCTGCCAGGTGGTTGAGTTTGGGACAGAATCCCAGGCTGACGCTGTGCCCGTGCCCTCTGCAGCCCATGGCCACTGTGCGGGTCCTGGTGAGCCACCCGTGGTACAGCGCAGCGTACAACCCACCAGCACCGTGGTTAAGTACTGGCCACTGCCGGTCGCCCATGGGCACGGCGGGAAATGCTCAGCCATGCACAAGCACCCGTCTGAAATCACAGCGCCCGTGGCAGCCCGCTGTCACCACGCATCCCCTCAGCTGCCGCGCAGGCTCCTTGGCACCCCGGCGTCACCGTGAGCCGCTCGCTGCACCGTGCCACTGCCGCCGTGCGACCCGCAGTGAGGGCACGGAGAGCGCAGCGGAGGGGCCAGACCTGGCCTGCCCTGTCTCTTGAAGGGGGTTCCAGCCCCCCGCTGGGGCTTGGCCCCACTGAGCGGCCCCCCAGCACTGCCGGTGCTGGCCCAGAGGGCCTGATGCCGCTGCGCAAGGAAGCCACACGCAGAGCCTGACCGCAGTTCCTCTGGCACGTGCCGGCAGCAGAACAGAGTAGCCCCCAAGCCCAGCCCGAGCTCGGGGGCTGGTGCTCTGCGGTTCCTGAAGCCCAGAGCCAACGGGCAGGTGCCCCAAAACCCCAGTCAGGCTGGCAGAGGTCTTTGGCTGCGGAGAGCTGCTGTGCCCAGGGCTCCTCCCGACGCACGCAGCCCCAGGGGTTGCTGCCGGTGAAGGAGCAGCCTCCGCACCCTGCCAGAGGAGCGCGACTGCCTGAAGCTGCAGTTCAGAAGCGAGCACTGGATAGCGGTGGAGCTGGGCCGAAGCTGCCGTGTCCATGAAGGAGGGGCTGATGTGAAGGAGGAGGCACCCTGGCCAATTCTGTCCTCTCCCTGAGCCAGCAGCAGCCACCCCGCTCCCATGTGTACCCAGGTCTCTCAGCCAAAGCCTACACGGCTGCTGTTATAGCCTGGGGGTGAAAGTGACCCCAAGTGACTCCCAGGCTGCCCCTCCTTGGGCTCCCATCATTATCTTTGTGGCCTCCTCCGGACCCGCTCGAGCAGGTCCGTGTCTGTTTTACACTGGGAGCCCCCGAGATGTGCCTCAGTTGCACCTCGGTTGCTGTGGCAATACCACTGCATCTCCATGAGGAAACATTTCCCTTGGGCAAAGTGCCCAGAATACAGGGTTTTTCCCTTAAAACATGTCCCTCCTTGAGTTCCGTTTGTCCGTCTGTGCGACACTGCCCTGCTTTCTCCCCGGGCAAAGGGCTGCGTGCTCCTGCCAGATATGGGGTGCTGGAGCACCACAGCGACAGAGGCCAAGGGGGGCCGGCGCGGTGCTGCTCTCTTGCCCTGTTCAGCTCTGCTGTGACAGCGGGCCAGTGCGTGGCCACCAGCCCGTGGCTGTCCTCAGCCACCCCCAGGCTTCTTTCCAGGGAGGACCAGAGGGGATGTCCGCAGGAGCCGTGTGAGCTTTGCACTGGGGAGCGTACTAACGCGGCTGCTGTGGACAAGGGGAATGTCACAGGGGCCGCCTCGGCCGCCTACTGTGGCACCTTGGGCTCTGCTGCTCCTGTCGCAGGCAGGGGGGCGCCCTCACTGCCGCTGACTGCTGCCCTTGTGTTTTCCCTAGGCCAAGCCAGCCCTGGAGGCAGGGTCTGCTCTGGCAGCTGAACGGTGCCAGCGGGGCAAGGGAGCACAGCCGGCTCCCAGCCCTCGGGTTGCAGGAGGTGGGGACACGGCCATTCTCCAAGCCAAGCCACCATGCTGGTGGCTGTAACCCGTGTTTTCTGTTCCTGGATGCGTGGCCTGGCTTCGGCTGCGTGCACTGGAACTCGTGTTATCACGCAAAGCCGGCAGCAGCGCTCTCGCACAGAAGCTAAGCTGGTCCAAGGCCACAGAGCCGCTCCAGATGCCTGGCACGGCATCCCTGCCGCCCGACCGGGGTGCCTGCCTGTCAATGCTGAAACAGGCTGCGGAGAGCGCGAGGCCCTGCAGGACCCCCAAGGCGGGCTGCAGCCACAGGAGCACAGCTCCTCCCCACCGCGTTTGAAGGCTTGCCTGTAGGAATGCTGCCAGTCACGTCAGTGTGCGTTGGGGACGCCCTCCGCCTTCTTGGGTGGGACAGCAATACCTTGGCGTTACGGAAGCCTGGGCGCACAGTGGCTTGGGAGGGTGAGAACGGATGCCTGCCCTCAGAGCTCTGGCAGGAGAACCGCTGGCAGCTCTCGGTGTCTCTGTAAGGACTTGCCCTAGACCGACAGCTGCAGTTAGGTGGCTTTGGCTTGGAGCTTGTGCAGCAGCGTGGGGCTTCACATGGAGCGGTTCTTCTTTAAACTGGCCATACCTCAGGTGGTGTCTGCGTAGCGGGAGGACTGGTGCATGCTCTGGTATAAGCAGAAGCTGTCTGTCCTGAGCAAGGTGCAGGGTTTATCCCCCAGGGCAGCTCACTGGGGCCGACGAGAAGGCTGTCGGCTTGGAGAGGGCGCAGAAGAGCTCAGTGTGTTCGGTCTGTCCATCCACGGGTGCTCATGAGCAGGGGGATGGACTGAGTGCAAAGGAACAAAACACAAGATGAGGGATGGATGTTCTGGTGCGTCTCTCACCCCCTCTTCACCCACCCCATCCTGCTGTTTCCCTGCTCCCAGGTGCCATCTCTGTTCAGGACTCCAGCAGCCTGGATTTCGAGGCCAGCCCCCGGCTGCGCCTGGTGGTCCAGGCAGAGACAGCAGCTTCCTTCGGCTTCATGGCCATAAACCTTAACCTGCAAGATGTGAATGACAACTTGCCACGCTTCCAGCTGCAGAACTACGTGGCATTCATCTGGGAGTCACAGAGCTACGACTCGCCCGTCATCCAGGTATCATTGGGGGCACAAACAGGGATGCCTGGGCCCCTGGCCTGCCTCTCTGCCGGGGTGAGGGCGGCGGGGTGGCCTGGGAGGGCTGCGGTGCGCAGGGCCCCACAACTGCACTGCTGAGTCTCTCACGTGGCCTGGCAGGTCCTGGCAGATGATCTGGATCAGGGAGCGAATGGGCAGGTGACCTACGCCATCAACCAGTCCCTGCCGATGACGGGTTTGTACCACATCGATCCTCAGACGGGCACTATCACTACTGCTGCCATCCTGGACAGGGAGATCTGGTCCCAGACCCGGTGAGTGGAACCAGGCTATGAGATACAGGTATGAGGAGTCAGGGCTGCGGAGCGGCGTCCCCAAGGCTGCGGAGGATACTCTGCTCCTCGGTGCCACCCAGAGCTGCCTCAGCCCTGCCTGCGAAATGTTTTTGCCAAACAGCAGGAACTCGGGCTTAGTGTTAAGGTGGGGAGCAAATGGTACTGAAGGCCTGGCAGATGGCCGTGAGATGAGCCGGTGCTCTAATCAGCCTGGTCTCTGCAAATCTGAGATCATGAGGGGGGCAGCGGACCCTTTTCAGCGGCTGCATCCATTCCCTTTCCTGCCCGCTCGATCCAGACGGCATATGCTCGGTCCCTTCCCACTCCTACGCATCGTGCTCTTCCGCTGTGCCACGCGTGCTCCGGGTGCCGTGCACTGCCCTGAACCCCCTTGCGAGTCCTCCTGCTTTCAGCCCAGGTCCTCTGGGCCCCTCGCTGCGTGCGCACACTCTGGACACCGCCTAGCTGCACCTCCGTGAGATGATGGCAAACGCTGCGCACAGTGAATGTCAGGCGTCCCCTACCCTTTCACACAGCCACGGTTCAGAGGCAAGGAACAACCTCTGCCACCCCACTCAGGCTATGTTCTCCCCCCCGTATGTGTGCTCCAACGGCTGCACATCTCTTGTCCCTCTTCCCAGGCGCGGCGAGGCGTTCATTCCGCTCACGTACCCGTCACCATTCCGCAAAGAGGCTCCATCTATTCCCCAACACCCAGATATGCCCCAAACGCCTGTCTCCCTGCACGCCACAACGTGCTCTGCCTGCGTCACCCAGACTCCTGCCCTTGCACAGGCTGACGGCGCTGTGGGTGCATCCACCACCTCCCCTTGCAAAAGCCTCCATCCACGGGTGCATCTTTAGTCCCGCGTGCCCGTGCCTGGGCTCTGCCTGAACCCACTGCCCACCACGAGCTCCGAACACTTGCGGCCA